AAGTTGGTGGTGGCAACTTTTCAATCACTTCAATCTTCGCCTTATCAACCTCAATACCCTTGTGAGAAATTTTGGTGGCCTAATACAATGCCTTCAGTCACCATGAAGTGACATTTTTCCCAATTTAAGACCAACTCAGCCTCCTCGCATCTCTTGAGAACTTTTGCCAAATTGTCGAGGCATCGTTCAAAATCGTCCCCACAAACAGAAAAGTCGTCCATGAAAATCTCTATAAAATCCTCAACCATATCTGAAAATATGACTTGCATACAGCGCTGAAATGTTGTCGGGGCATTACAGAGTCCAAAAGGCATCCTCCTAAAGGCAAAAGTGCCATAGGGACAAGTAAATGTAGTCTTCTCCTGGTCCTCTGGTGCGATGGCAATTTGATTGTACCCCGAGTACCCATCCAAAAAGCAATAGAATGCTTTGCTGGCTAATCGATCCAACATTTGGTCGATGAAAGGTAGAGGAAAATGGTCTTTCTTTGTAGCTTTGTTGAGTTTTCTATAGTCCATGCATATCCTCCATCCGGTCACAGTGCGAGTGGGTAATAGCTCATTATCCTCATTAGTAACCACCGTCGTGCCTCCTTTCTTCGGAACACATTGGACAGGGCTCACCCATGAGCTATTTGAGATAGGGTAAATCACTCCAGCATCAAGCCATTTCAGAATTTCTTTCATCACCACTTGCTTCATAACAAGGTTGAGTCTTCTTTGTGGTTCTATTGAATTGTCATGGAAATCTTCAAGCAGAATCTTGTGCATGCAGATCGTGGTACTGATGCCTTTCAAATCGACCTTAGTCCAACCAATTGCTTTTTTATGCTGTATCAACACACTGAACAAACTTTGCTCTTGATTAACAGTAAGGTTAGCGGAAATAATCACCGGTACAGTCTCATTGCTACCTAAGTATACATATTTAAGATGCTCTGGCAAAGTCTTAAGCTCTAGAGTGTGTGCATGCATTACTGAAGGCTTAAGAGGAATAAATTCATCAAAATTTAGAGGTTCAAAATTCATACTTGATCTAGCTTGTAGTAAGCTAGATTGTTCCTCCAACATTGGAAAGTTGTCGGACTCCACTACGCTTTCATCATCCACCCAATATTCATTTTCTGCTAGCTGAATAAAATTGTTCTGGCAAAGATATTCAGTCTCTTCTTCAATCACTGAGTTCAATTCTGAAATGCCTTGGCATTCTTCAGTGTCATCAACATATTTGAGCGTTCAAAAAACATTGACAGTCACACACTGATCAGCCACTCTCATGGTGAGTTCACATTTTTCACAGTCTATCAAGATACGTCTAGTGGCTAGGAAATGTCTTCCTAGAATGATTGGTGCCTTGGCATCAACTTCGCAGTCCAGAATTAAGAAGTCGACTGGAAACACAAACTTATCCACCCTTACTATGACATCATCGATTCTCCCTTCAGGTTTCACATGGGATCTGTCGGCAAGTTGTAAAATAATTGAGGTGGGTCTTGCATCTCCTATGCCAAGCTTCAAGAATATTGATTTCGGCATTAAGTTGACACTTGAACCAAGATCACACAATGCCTTTCTAACGAAATTAGCTCCAATTGAACAAGAGATAATGAAGCTGCCCGGATCATTTCTCTTTGGCGGCAACTTACTCAATGAAGAACAAAATTATGTTGTCGTGGCAACAGTCTCTACTTTCCTTTTCTTGGTACAGATTTCTTTCAGAAATTTGGCATACATCAGCATCTGTTCAACAGCTTCCAAGAGAGGTATGTTGATATGGAGCTGATCAAGAATGTCCACGAACTTCTTGAACTGAACTTCATCATTATGCTTCTTCAATCTTTGCGGGAAGGGTGGGGGAGGTCTAGCTTCCTTAGCTGCAGGAATAGAATTTGCTTTTGCCTTGGCATCAGAATCTAGTATCTTAGCAGAATCCTCCTCCTTGTCCTTCTCAGTAACTCTATCATCATGTAATTCAACTTCAATAGTGGGATTAGAATCATCATGTTGTGGCCCACTATTCTTGACTTGTCGATTGATTTGTGTTCCACTCCTAAGAGTTAACACGTTGCAGTGCTCTTTTCCAGGTGCTTTAGTGACTTCAGTATCACTTGACAAACGTCCTTGCTGACGCTCTTGCAATGCCGTAGCAATCTGACCAACTTGACCTTCCAAAGCTCTCAGAGACGAGCTATGACTTTGAAGTAAGACGCCTTGACTATGAAGGCGCCTTGACAATGAAGTAAAGCTCATTGATTCTTAATTGAAGTAGAATGGTCTTGCAGCATTGTCTTTGTAGTGGATATGAACTCTTGAATTGTAGCTTCCAATGAACTCATGCTTGCTGAAGATGAAGCTCCTTTGTTGGAATTATGCCATGGTATAGCATTTTGGTAACCTTGAGACTCATTGTGATTCTGCTGCCGAGTAGGTTGATTAACATTGTGGGCTCCTTGATTTCCCCATGAAAAATTGGGATGCTGACGCCATCCAGCATTATAAGTGTTAGAATAGGGATTGTTGTTGCCTCGATTGTAATTACTTACAAAGTTGATGGACTCATGGTTGGTTGGGCATTCGCTCTCGTGATGATTGTCTTGGCATAACAGACATGTCAGGCTAGTTGCTTTCACTTCTTTCACATCAGTGGAACGTTGTAAGTTCTTCAACATATTAGTGATGGCTGAAAGTTGAGCGGACACCGAATCCTTGGTATCTAACTCAAATGCTCCAGGTGTTCTCATTCCACTCCCAAGCCTTGAGGAAGGAAACTGATAATCATTATTAGCAATTATGTCCAATATAGCAAACGCCTCAGTAGGTGATTTATCCAGCAATATCCCATTTGCCAAGGCATCCAGTAACATCTTCGTGGGTGCATTGACTCCATTATAGAACATGACTACTTGAGTCCAATCATGAAAACCATGATTTGAACACTTCCGAAGCAAACTCTTGTAACGATCCCAACACTCATATATGGATTCGTCGTCGCACTGGCGAAAAGAAGATATTTCATTCCTTAGCTGCGTATTCATGTTTGGTGGGTTGTACCTCAATAAGAAACTCTTGCAAAGATCGGCCCATGATTCCATAGAACCGGCTGGTACACCACTTAACCAAGGCCTTGCTCGGTCACGCAATGAATACGGAAAAAGCTTTAATTTCATAAAATCCTCATGCACTCTTTCTTGGCGAAAAGAATCACAAACTTTCAGAAAATTGCGAATGTGCTGCCTGATATCTTCAGTTGGCATACCCTCAAACTGCCTAATAGAATTCAACATGTTGAACATGACTGGTTTCAGCTCGAAATGTGCAGCTTGAATTTCAGGTGCCACAATCTCAGGATTCAGATCATCCAGCATCGGATTTAAGTGATCGCGAATAACGCGCGGCCTAACAACAGGATCAGCATTGTCTAATGCCCCGGCATTATGATTTCCATTATCCTAACCAATGCCTTGGTTTTCAATCTGATACATATTTCTTTGAGCACGTCTTCTTCTTCTAAAGAGTCTTTCAATCTCAGGTTCTATTGGTTCCAAAGGCTCTTCAGAATTTCTTCTAGGCATACACTAGATAAACCTGAAAATAAAACAAAAATATCAAGTAAACTATACACAAATAAAAATGCAAAACAAAATAAAATGCTCTGGCAAAACTAAATAACTTCAGGCTGCCAATTCCCCGGCAACGGCGCCAAAAACTTGTTCGCGTGTTGTGAGTACTATAAAATATACGCAAATAATGTGCAAGTATACACAATTGCTCAAGTAATATAATGATGAGTGAGTATCGTCTCCACATGGATTGGGTGAAATTACAAAAGTCTAACCAAAGCAATGCACTATTCTATCTAAGTATAGTTAGTCTTGATATATATAAATGTCACGACAATGTAAATGTGTATGCTGGTGGATATGTAGTAATGGTCTGATGGTGTAGCAAATGGAAATGCAATGGCAATGATGGATGTTTAATGTTGAGTATGGTGAAATGTCAAGGCAATGAAAAATGGTAAAAACAGTAAATAAAATAAAAATAACATGAAAATAAAATAATCCTCATGTGACAAGCTTCCAAGAGAATGAATGGTAGCGATTGATCTACGGATGCTAAACTTATTTCTCAAGTATATTTAAGCTAACTTGTCTTTACTTACTCGACAGGGCTTTCCTAAAGTGTTCTAAAGAACCTAACAGAATAGGATGCCAAGGCATCTGCTCTCACTCAACGATGTTGGACAACGTACCCTATTGATAAAGACACTTTTTAGTCGTTGAAATCCTATCCTAGTCTATTCCGAGATCTAAAGGATTAAATTATAATACTCCTAGGTCGGTTCAAAGCCCTTTGAAAATACTATAACTCATTGCTTATGAGGATTTTATCTTGCGTTTCTTTTGAATACTTACAAGTATTTTTAGCTTAGGATTCTTTCGAATACATAACCTTCATCTAAGAAATGAACATTTCCATGCCTCTTACAAGCCTAGATGGTGAAGCATTCATAAGTAAAGCAAATAAAGAACCAAAATAAACTTAAATATACCATTAAAAATAAAGTTCAAACAACCATTAAATCAACCACCACCAAATAAGTTAATTCATGGTGGGGTTCAAAATATCTAAATACAAAGTCATGAAAATATTTGTTCCAACAACCCACAAATAAATATAAAATAGCAGGAAAAAGGGAAGTTGAGAAAAAGCCTTCGACGCGCCACTGGAGGTCTCCTCTCGGCCACCGTGAACCACCTAGCTCGCTAGCTTCTTTCGGCTCATAGCTCATCACTCCTTGGAGCTTTATCAATGGAGGAATGTCCCAAGGAAGAAGAAAGGAAAAGGAAAAATACAAATATGATTTTTCTACCGTATGTCTCCTCCTCTCTCTCCCATGAGGTGTCATATATAATAAAAAATATCTAGGGGTAATGATGAGGTTGTTGGGTGCAAAATACCCCTCATACTCCTAGAATCACATGTTGGGTGTGAACCTTATCCTTCAAGTGGCAGTGGTCCTTTGGCAGCTCTGGCAGGCAATTACAACAGTCCTTCACGTGCAGAGACAACTGTCCAGTGCCAACTGTCCTTATGCATAAATATTTTTTTCTTTTTCTGCGCCGGAAATGTCAAGGCATTTCAATATGTTTTAACAACGTGTGATACAGCGACATTACTTCCCAAAGAATCCTTTTTTCTTATTATTCCCTGTACACCACAAACAAACTGCATCTTTCCCTCAAACAGCACCATTAAGAAATAAAATAGCACAACTACCACAAATGCACTATATGCAACTACATGATCCTAAAATACCTAAGATGAGCTTTTAAACAAACAATAACTTAAGTGAAAAATGCCTTAAAAGTAACTTTTTTAGGAAGTTAACAGAAACGTGCCACAAGAGTAAAGAAAAACGTGCCACATGAGCAGAGAAAAGTGTGTCACAAAGACAGAGATTATTATTTAAAAGTGAAAAAACTCAAGAAAAAAACAAAGACAATATAAAAAAGAACAAACACAGTAATTTGGCTAAGGAGTTCACGAGAGAGGAGTTCTCTATAACTTTGAGAGATGTCTCTTCTTAAAGCTTCGGGAGAACATAGATTATGTGCCATTTTTTATCAAAGATTATGGCATGTCTGGGACAGGAGGTTACTAATTACTGCATAGGTCTTCTTCATGGAACCTATGACATGAGGGAGGTAAATCATACTCATATCACTTTGATCCCGAAAATTTATTCTCCCACAAGACTTACTCATTTTAGGCCCGTTAGCTTGTGCAGCGTACTCTTTAAAATTGCTTCTAAGATGATTGTGAATTGGTTGCAAAATGTGCTTCATTTGTGTATTGATGAATCCCAGAGTGTTTTCATTCCCGGTAAACTCATTACTTATAATATAATAATTTCCTACGAGATGTTGCAGTCGTTTGTTTGCAAGCGGGAAGGGCAATGTGGTTATTTTGCTCTAAAGCTAGATATGAGCAAGACATATGATCGAGTTGAGTGGGACTTCGTCTGGGATATTATGATGTGAATGGGTTTCTCACCAGATTGGATCGAAGTGATTCAGAAATTTGTTTGTACAGTCTCATATTCCATTATTGTGAATGGTGGTGTAGGCTTGAGTTTTATTCCCCAGAGAGGTCTTCGCCAGGGCGACCCTCTAAGCCCATACTTGTTCCTAATTTGCAGTGAAGGTCTATCTTCTCTCCTTCGCCATGCAATGAATGTGGGGGCTTTGAAGGGTGTCTGGGTAAACCGTTATGCTCCTACGATTACCCACTTGCTCTTTGCGGATGACAGCTTGATTTTCGGGTAAGCATCTGCATCGGTTACTCATCATCTCAAAGAATTGCTTAGTCTATACGGTGAAAGCTCAGGACAAGTGGTAAATTTTGACAAGTCGGGATTGTTCTTCAATTCCAATGTTACTAATAGAAACCGTAAAGATGTCCGATGTATCCTAGCAGTCGAAAACACATCGGGCCTGAAGAAATATTTGGGGTTACCCGCGATAGTAGGGAGGAATAAAAGAGGGGTTTTCGTTCATCTTAAGAGTGAATTCTTAGCCCGGATTCAGAATTGGTGTGTGCGTATGCTGTCTCAAGGAGGAAAGGAAGTCTTTATTAAGTCTGTGCTTCAATGAATTCTGCTATTCGCGATGAATGTGTTTTTACTACCAAAAAGTTTGTGCTCGAAACTTGATGTAATGGCTAGATTTTGGTGGCAGAAATCAGAATAGAAAATGGATATTCACTGGTGTTAGTGGAAAGCTCTATGTATGTTGAAAGAATCAAGGGGTTTGGACTTTAGAGATTTAGCAAAGTTCAATGCGGCTTTGTTGGCGAAGCAAGGTAAGAGACTTCTTACTAATCCGACTTCATTAGTTAGTAGATTCCTCCGAGCAAAGTACTTTCTGCAAGGTAATTTCCTTAGCTCTCGGATTGTTAATCGACCTTCGTTATCTGGAGAAGTATATGGAGAGCTCGAGGTTTGTTGGAATCCGGTTTAAGATGGAAGGTGGGAATGGGCTCTTCCATCTCTATTTGGAATGATTATTGGCTCCCTGGAAGAAGACCAACCATGGTAACTTCACCCCAAGTGGACACTTTGATTAGTGTCTCGGATCTCATTGATGAAAGCTCAAGGAGTTGGAAGGAAGATATTGTTACTGCGAATTTTGTCCAAGAAGAGGCAGAACAAATTTTGGGTCTCCCTCTATTGTATTTCCCAGGAAGATGCTAGAATTTAGAGTGGAGAAAAATAGGACAGTACAGTGTTCGTGGCGGGCACCGTCTGTTGCTTCAAGAAGAATGTAGTGAACAGTCGAGTAATGGAATTTTTAGCAAGATATGGGTGGGGGCTTGTCAACGTAAAATTAAGATCCAAGTATGGAGGTTTGCCTTAAACTACGTTCCTACAAAGCAGAATCTGTTCACCAAAAGATTAGTTAGTGATCCGTTTTGTCCTACTTGTCATAATGTGGTTGAATCTACAGCCCACGTAATTCGTGACTGCCGTTTGGCAACCGAAGTCTGGAAGGGTTTAAATATAAAGTGGCATGTGCAGTTGAATTTGGTCGAGTGTTATGGATAGCTTGAGTGGGTGTTTTCGACTGTTCATTCCAGCAATCACTCTTTAATATTAGTTACAATTTGGGCGTTGTGGTATTACCGTAATTTGCAGTATCATGAGGGAAAGAGGACAAGGGGATGGAAGCCATTACCTTCATTCGTGCTCACTGTAACGAATTCTCAGCAGCAAATGTTCGCCTTCATGGCACGTCCATTGCTCCGTCAGTGGGCTGGCATCCTCCACCCGTGAACATGATTAAAGTCAATTTTGATGCGAGCTTCTCTCAAACAAATAAAACAGGTCGTTCAGGGGTGATAATCAGAAATGATAGAGGAGAAATTATGGGTTCTTGCAGCATATTTCAACCAAGAGTCACCTCACCGTTTGTTGCAGAAGCCACCGCGACCGTCCATGCACTTTCCTTTGCTGCGGATTTGGGTTTTCGTGAAGTTATTGTTGAAGGGGACTCAAGATCAATAATCTCCAAGCTTGCTTCACCAAATATCGATCTCTCGGAGGTGAGTGCTCTCATTTGGGAGGCACAGAAACGTGCTGAAGCGTTGGTTACATGTCGTTTTGTCTTCACTCCTCAGAGGGGAAATATGGCGGCGCACCTTTTGGCGGCCGGCGATGGTCGAGATTCTACAGGACACCTTCTGGATTGAGGAAGCTCCGCGCCATGTTGAAGTTCAAGCCGATGAAGACCGGAGGTGCATCATTCCTCCTTAGATGTGTTTCTTTCGAAGTTGTTTTTTGGTATAGAGGTTTCAATCTGTCTTCTCCCCGCTTCTCTGCCCGATATCCATCAAAGTTTCCTGCTTTTGCTCAGAGAAGTTGAAAGGCCTGCGTTTTGCGTTTTGCTTTCTGCTTTTGGTTTGGTTTATTCATTTCTTTTAGCCTTTTTGGTTGTTGACTGCTCAGTTGGTGTGGCTTAGCTGGCTTCCACTATTTCTGGTTTTAGACACTTGTTTGATATTGTGTTTTCTGAGTAACTAATATGGTAAATGAATTGTTGTTATTTTTTGAAAATCTGGATTTAATGATTATAGATGTTAAGGATATGAGCGTTTAATATCAAAAGGTTGAGAGTTATATTTGAATAGATCATACCTTATACTTACCTTACATTAATTTAAAAAAAAACTTACGGGAAAAGAAATATATTTTTATATATAAATTCTTCTTATAAAATATTTGTGAGAGTAATTGTTAGAATAGATAGAGGGAGTGTTACGATCACATCTTAAAAATTTTAAATTATTATACAATTAGATATTTATTAACGATTTAATTTTATATTTTTTTTATAATTTTATCTCATTTGAATTTTAATATAATTTTCTAAAAATTCACATCATTTATATAAAATTATGTGTCCGGTGTTTGTGAATAAGTTGACCACATAATTAATGAGTTGTGTAACTGAAACTATCTTTGCTGTGGAAGTGAAGCGTAAAACTATTTGGGAGCTCAAGGGCAATATGGGACATTAGGCTAATGAAGTAAAGCATTTTAATCCTTAGCTTTGAGATTTTCTTGTACTTCTATATCGTTGTTAGGTAAAATTTTACAAAATTATTTTTTCCACTCATAGAATGAGTATGATAGAATATCAATTTAATAATATAACGAACAATAAAGAGTATCTTTATCGATTGACAAGCTTTTATGAGAATGTGAAAGTTGCAAGATAATTGAATGAGTGTAGTTACATGTAATTAAAAATAGAGTAAGCTATTTACTATTTAGTACCCTATTCTATTTTGGTTTTTTATTAAACCAATTTTTAATATTTAATTTTTTTTTACTAATTTCGTGCTGCTATTTTAATTTTTAGAATAATTTAATATTTCAGTAAATTAAAAATAACAAACTAGAAGTTTTAAGTTAACCGGAAACAAAAACACAAACCAAAATAGGGTGAGTAGTAAAATACCCCTTAGACGGGGGAACGATGGTCGAGAAATTAAACGCACAAAACAGCAAAACTCAATTCAAATATAAGAACAGATGGAAATGTAGTCTTAATCAAGATCAAGAAAACTAGACTCAAACAACAGAGAGGACTGTAACTTATTTGCAAGACCAAATGAGAGACATACTTGGAAAAAAAAATAGCGATAAATGTGACCATACCAAGAGAGTTTCATAATCACTCCTCCTCCGACTCCGACTCCGACTCGGCATTCTGGAGCCACTCAATAAAGGGCTTGACATTCTTCCATATTTGAGAACTCTTATTACTACCAGCTATTCCTTTCTGGTACCACTCCCTGATGAACTCTTCTTCCAAGATATCATCATCATACAACACCTTGATAACTAAAGCCACCTCCTTCGCCGCATCGGGGCTTGCCTTGCCACAAAATGACTCGATAGTATGTAGAAGCATCGTCTGCCATCCCTCTTCTTTGGTTGCAGCCGCCGCCGCCGCAAGGTAGTTCTTCATTTTAGTTACTTCCTTTGCAAACCCCTTTCCAACATCATCAAAGAGTGCAGTAAAAAGGGCATCTGTGATTTCTTGGGATGTTCCAGAGACCGAACCTAGGAAGGATTTAAGCTGAGAAGGAGATGACCCCTTCTTGAGATGTTCCTTTATCTTATCAACAAGCTTCTCATGGGCACTAACAACCTTTTCAGGTGCCTTAACATCATGCTCTGGAGACTTCTTTACCGACTTTTTCTTCTCTTCACTGGTAGATAGCATCACCATGTCTGCGGTAACAGCACTCAACTGCTCCTGAATGCGTTGCTTAGCAGCCTCCAGTGAAGTATCTGTTAGCCACTGGACATCATCATCATCGTCACTTGCTGCCTCATTCTCATCGGCCTGGCTTTGTTCAGGGGAGTAATCCTCATCAGAATGCTTGCCTTTCTTCTTCGTTACTGCACCTTTGGGAGCAGCAACCTTTGAAGTAGTAGTAGTAGACGATCCCTTCTTTTTAGCCTCTTTTTTAATCTTCTTTAGCTCTTCATCAGCAGCCTCACCCTCTTTCAGTCTTTCCTTTTCAGCCCTCCTCATTGCTTTCTTGTCTTTCGATGACTTCTTTGCCTCTGGTGGGTTTTTAAGAATGAAAGTCGTAAGCTTATCTCGCATGTCAACATCAGAAATAAATCCACATGCAGCACATTTTAGGGTAATCATCTGTGTCTTTGTAATAATAACCTCAGTTTCGGGGTTCCCACAACCATAGCACTGAACGAACTTCTTAATAAAGTTCTCAAGAAGCCCCGCAAGCTTGGCAGTGTCATGAGCCCCATTTACATGTGAAGTTCCAGTCTTCTCATCAAACTTAGATTGGGCACCCAGTTCACAGCCAAAATACTTTGTAGTGTAAGAGGCAGGTCTAGCCAAAGCCTTTGCAATTTCAACCATATTAACCACATTAGTCTTGATGCCATTTCCTCTCCCTTCAATCTTAGTTATCATTTTGGGCATCTTATACCTATAAAAGGCATCATCACTGTTCGAAGCACCAATATTTTGCAGAGCCATCTTGGATCAAACTGTTGCACTTGGAAGAGGCTGCATAAAATGGACACCGAGACTGTGTGCGCTATCGGCCTCAATATGCATGCATATAACTTCAGAAGAGGGGCTTATATTCTTTTCTCTGAAAGCGGGACAGTACTCTCCGAGCAATCCAACAGTTGAAAAAGTGAGAGAGGCCCGTTCAGACATAAAAGAAGATGCAATCGTAACAATCTCCACTTTGACAAGCAGGAGACACAGCAGATTAAGCTGCCAACTTCCTAAAAGAATAACAAAATTGATCCTGGCAAAAGTTGAACATTTAGTATATCAATAACCAGCAGAAAATTCATCAACATCAAGAAAACTGTTTCAAATCTACATGAAATATACCAACATTCATCAAATTTCAAATGCCAACAAACATCAGAATAAAAAAATCAGTTCTTAAAGCCTAAAGATTCCAAGATTAATCTAGATATGAAAACATTACAAAACAAAAGATTAAATTTCTTTATTCGTAAGACCCTCCATAACAACCAGATAGTTAAAACGTGAAAATAATTGCTAAATTAAATCAGACGGATCAAATCGAAAAATTAAAATATCAATTCACAAACATCCTAACAATACATAACATAATGATTCAAAATTGTTACAAGGTAAATTAAGTAAGTAATTACTAAGAACTATAAAATCCGTATTAAATAAGCTAATCATTATATTAACAGTTAAATAATGAAAACTAAACTCAGAAAAGACACAATATATGATTTAATATCCGCATTGCAATAATCTAAACATTGAAGAAATCATCAATTACCAATCATAAAAAAAACCAAATATTCAAAATATATCCTCTAGGACCAGAACAAAACAACATCGGTCGTATAAGAAATCCAAAAAAAAATAAACTGATAAAAAATAATAAACAGATCCACAAAGACTGAACAAAAGAAAACATCAATGTAGGTATCGGAGAAGTAGTTGAAAGATTAAAATAAATGGTAGAAACTAACCAATTAATAGGAACAGATTAATAAACGAAAAGAAATTGGGAACGGGAGAATCATACCTTAGATGAGATTGGAATTGGAGAAGATAGAGTAGGGATTCGGTGGTAGAGAAAGACGCTGCTTTATACACGCCCAATTACGTGGACAAGTCAGAAACGTTAGGGCAAACTCATGAACTTCGAATTTAATTATTATTCTCAAATCGATTTATTGTATTACATTATTGCCCTTAGCTCTCTTTTCTATTTCCCATTTTTGTCCTTTTTCTTTTTAGTTTCTAAGTTGTATAAAATTTCAAGTAATTTTATCTTCTAGAGTCTAAACCACTGATTTTGTAAATATCTGGACTTGGTAGTATAAAACGTCACAGTTTTTTAAGTTTTGACATTGAATTTTTTAGTATTAAAAATTGATTTATGTTAACTTTGCTAAATAAATTTAACAAAAAAATTAATTAAATATGCAAACATGATATAATAAGAATTCCAAAAATTACTGCGGATATAAACTAAATTAATTTTTTTATTTAAATTATTTAACAAAATTAACATAAATAATTTAATTTTTATACTACAAATATACACTAAATTGACGTATTATTTATGTAGGTTTCATTCTGTGGAATAATTAACAGTTTGATAGAAATAATAATTTATTTTTGAATTTTAAAGAATGTCAAGTGCAAAGCTAAAAAAACTATATGCAATATCTTCAAATACAATGGCAGGTGTGGATTATAGAAAGGCTCAAGTAATAAGTGACTAAATTAAGGCTAGAGTAATAAGTGAATAAATTATACCGCTTTTCACGAATATATGCTTAAATTATTTTTTGAATGATCTTGTTGACTAACGTTATAAAAGTTATTATTTTAGATGTTTGGGCTGTTAATTTTTTCCTTTTAAGTGACATGTATCATAATATAATAATTTTAAAAACTTTGTTTAAAATTATATTTAAAAAATACAAAATTTTTTGAAATAACCCTTTGAAAACATTATTTCAACCCCTAAACTCACGTCTGTCACTACCCTTTTCCATCGTCAAAGCTCCATTCGACTAGGGATGAGCATGGGTCGGATTGGGTCGGGTTTTTGGTCCACCCGACCCGACCAAAACAAGTTTTCACCCGATCAGAAATAATAAAAAAATTATTTTTATTCAATAAAAACAATGATTTAATTGAATATATATATATATATATATATATATATATATAGGTATTATTGTAATTATCCCTAATATATAGGGTAAAATTATTTTTTTCCCGGGTCGGGTCGGGTCGGATTTTTTTCACCCTAAACCCGAACCCGAATTTTTTTAAAAAAAATCCGACCCGATCGGGTCGGGTTTAAATGCCCATCCCTACATTCGACCTCAACTCCCCGCCGACGAAAACTCTTATGAAATCATGATCAATC